GCAGAAGAGAGGAGAGCTCTCTGCTTAGTTTTCCTAGGATGGTAATAACATGAACAACTGAAAGCCACCAGATAAATCTTGCTTCGGGCTTCTTGTTCTAATGCTATTTTTTTTTCACTGCATAATCAGTCACACCAGCTTATCGTCTGCTTGCTACCATTCACATACCAGTACCCATCCAACCAAAGGAAAACTAGTTTCAAGTATCTTCCTTTTTTTTTTTTTTTTTGGGAAAATGGACTGACCATATTTGTTTTTGATTACTGGTCTTTGAACTTATTTTATTTAAGTGCGGTCATCCTCCGAATATATCACTCCGTAAATATGTCACAGTAGGGTTTCATGTTTACTGTTTCTCAATGACTTCCAGATCAAATGTATTCGGTTTGAAACCAAAAAGTTGGTACGTGTGCTTGGTTTTGGGCTGGGGTTTGTTTTGTTTCGTTTTAGGCAGGGGGTGGGGGAATGGAGACGGAAGCAAGGTTAACCAGTACTACGCTGTCAGCCACGTCTCTGGAAGCTCGGCTGGCTCATGCATCCTCCCCATCACTGGTAACAAAGATTTAGTTGTTAGATTTCACTAAGAACTCCCTTTACGATGTGAGAGACAGGACAGCATACAGTTTGCTCCCCAGAGCCCTGCTGGTGCTCCACTGGCAAAAGATTGAAAAGTAATGACAGACTTACTCTCACAAGCGAAACATGCATACGAAAGTGGTAATACACATAGGGAACAGATCTGTTGACTAAGAACATGCCATTTTCACATAGTCACTTTTCTGACCATAACCGCACTTTATACTCCAGACATGGTTCTGTTTTCCTCTGCTGTGGCACAGCAGATGTGAACCATTTAAAACCTTTTAACGGGACCCAACCTAGGGCTAAATGACAAAAGCCTGACAAAATAATACTGAAACTTACATCCCTGGCATTTTGAATGTTCTGTGACAGGGTCAAAAATCTTGATAAATCAAAATTCTCACACTGAAAAAAACAAACCCAAAACCAACCAACAACACAGAGCCATGACTCATTGAATGGAAAGAGAGGCAGATGTCTCCACGAAGTCCTGTTTTGAACAATAAAAGTTTTAAAGATGCAAGTTAGAAAATACCTCAGCTTTCCAGCTGTATTTGTCCACCACAATACAGTGGAGGAGGAGACAATATACAGGGTTTGGTTTCCGGGAAATCTTAGCTGCCTCCCTGCTGATATGCATGTTTCTTCAGTCTTTGGTTCAGGGTTGAAACTACCTCTCCTTTAAAGTGTTATGTATTATATTTTGCTTATGAAGGGAGGCAGTGAAACATGGAACACCTTGGAAGATGGCTGCATCCTGCTGTGGCAAATATTCCAAACAGGCTTTTACAGGTGAAGGCAACTGGCATGAGAAGAAAGTCCCTCTATGTGCTAAAAATACAAGAGACCTACCAGCCACTTTCTTGGCTTAGCAGAATACACTGCCAATACCCCCGGTTAGACTGACTGTAAGAGTTACTCATATTTTTAAAGGTAATAATCCCATATTCCCATTTTACAACACACCCTGAAGACATGCAACAAATCAAACTATCCCCATTTTGCAACAGTTTCTTGGCATGAGCCATGTAGTAATTAAAGAACTTTAAATGGGAATGACTGCCACAATTTGCAGGCTCCCTTAATCCAGCTATAGTATCTGCAGCACCTCCAGGTGCTTGTCTTGTTCTCATAATACAAGCTCAACAGTGCCATGGCAGGGCCTGAGGGGACATCTGAAGATGATGAGGATTTAGGCACGCCAGCATGAAAACTTGGCTGGTGTTTGGCTTTGTTGTTGTTGTTTTGTTTATTTATCTATCCCTTCTTTTACCAGGAAATATCACACGGACAAATGAAGTCTTCTTTTGCAAAGACATCCAGGCCAGCTAGCCCTAAATGATCTTAACACAAAATCAATTAAAACAAAAACATTTAAACACTATAATTCTAAACATGGCCTTCCGCTCCATACAGGCCAACCTACAGCAATTATAGCGTAACAAATTAGTGTGAGATACATACTAACAAAGTGAAAGCCTGATTTTTGCCAGGACAAGGGCAAAGCTTGCTTAAATATTTTGAAACTGCAGTCTTGAAATGATCAATTATCAACAGACAGCTGCATGGAAGTGGCTTTTGTTTGGTTTGTTTTTAATGAAATTTAGCCCTTCGTTCCTGAACTTGGAGCTGGTAACTACCATTTGTTCGGTTCCGACTTGAGCAACCAAAACACTTTACTTTCGAATTTCCAAGTTCTCAGTCTGTCCCACTGCCCGATTTTCTCTTCCCTCTAAGCACTCATGTCAAGCCTTTCAATGGGGAAAGCGTGCAATATTCTCCTGAACTAATCCTGTTTATCAGTTTTACGAAGATGGAAAAATCCAAACAGCGTTATAAACTGCCCTATGAATACAAAATTCAATGTGTGTTTTGTACTGATACAAAACTTTTTTGCCTGTTCCAAGGAGAAACATCACCACACCATAATACCTGGACTCGAAGTATTCGATGAACCTTTTTAAAATCAAATATCACTCTGCAGAGGTGCATAAGCATGGTGTGGAAAGCACATACAATTAAGAATTACCTACAGCTGGTTTTCCAGCTCATTTGCACTTTTGCCATGTTAGTGGCACAGTTCTCCACACTGGTTTGCTGCCCATCAAAGTGCACTCAAGTATGAGATAAAACACCCTCCTGGAGGGATGCTGCTTCATAGAGTTTATACCTCTGCTGAGAAACATACATGAGTTGTAATAGCTATTGTTTAATATTAGTGTTTATCCCTGTAGTGGTATACGCTGTCTCTGCCCTTCCACCTCTACAGAATATGAACACAGCCAGATTCACCAATGATCCATCTGACTGACACAAGCCTCAGCCCATCTTTCAGACTCTCAGAGGTTCACCCTGCCTCTCTCTGTCCAGCTCTCTCAGGTGACACTGGTGCTGCTTGGACCCCCTTCCCTATATTGAGACTGTGACTGCTCTTGGAGGAATCTAAAAAGCCAGAGCAGTCATGATGCTGGGCCAAGTACTCCTGTTTGCAGAGACCTTTATAAGAAGGACGGTACAAGTCAGAGAATTATACACTTAAAGTCAATAGCCTTCACTCAACTATTTAATGTTTATTTGTTTTACAACACCAGCAATATGCAATTCCACAAAAATACATTTCTGATATTATTTATCTGCTGAGTCTGCCCCTATCTCATTTGAAGCAACAGATAAAGCAAATGGCAGCAATTTAACCTTCCTCAGCATACAAACACTGTTTATCTTATCATGTAAATTATGAAAATAGGCCTAGAGGATTTGGCACAGGAAACCTAACACACAATAGGTTAAATAAAGCTTTAGGAGAAAATACCAAGCAGTCTATCATTTAGACAAAGGGGTGAAGTGTTGGACAACATGTATTTGAACTACCAGTGTCCATTCTGAGACTAACAGAAGCTTTATAATCATTCACTGCTGTCTTACTCAGACATTGACTGAATACAGAAATCTGAAATCCTGAAACTGCCTGAAATCCTGTTTTATTTTTGGCACTCAATATCTCTTTCTTTTAATAAGGGATACGTGAGTTAATTCATTGTGCACATTTTTCAAACCCTCTGACACCACTAGTTTGAATAAAGTGTTACTGGTTTCTAATTACAATCAAAAGAGCATACAAAAAATGGGACAATGAAGACATCATGGAAGGAGAGGGGAAAAAAAAAATCATTTAAAATAAATCAAAGCACAAAGGCACAGTGGATAGCTGTGCTTTCCCTAAGAGGAACGTAGGGTAAAACAGGTGGAGAGAGGGAGTGAGAACAATTCCTGTGAGAGTAGAACTGAAGAGAGATCCATATCATCCACTTGTGACTGAGTCAGCATATGGCCCTTGATTAAATTCCTAAAATACTACTGACAACACTATACTTGTTCCTTGCACTGCTATTATGACAAACAGTCCTGGCATGAACCATGACTATGAGGCCCACCTTTGAACCTAACATGTCTTAAACAAAGTTACAGTACACCTTGCAGGCACTTAACACACATTCTCCACCTTATTTTCCAAATCTGCTGCCTGAACATGTGTAGCCTTACAAAAGGGCAGCTGCAAGCTTCGCAGCCATGTAGGCAACACCGAATTTTGCCATCCCTTGGGTGAAGAAAGAATCAGGGCAGAAATACCTCAAGGAACCAGCTAGACCTGGAGTCACCAGCAGCTGGGACACACGGCTTCCCAAGACCAAGAGCAGGCAGCTGACTCTCTTGCACAGACCTACACCATTCAGTAAGGACAGGGAACAACTCATCACCTTCTTGCTGCCTTCAGGAGTCTGCTTTCCTTAAATTAGTGACTACCTCGCTTGAGCCTAAAGTTCTACCATGTATTTGCTCTTTCTAAGAACTGAGGCATCAAGTACTGGCACTTGAATGTGGTTTGTATTATATTTAGTGAATACCATCTCAAAGCAAAAAGCCTCCAAAACCATTGAGACCTTCAAATGTAAGAAAATCCCCTGTAGCCAAAGCCAGAGGAACAGAGAGAAAAAGGGGAAGGCATGTCTTCCAGGCAGGACCCATGCTCGCCAAGCAAAGGGCACCTCTAAGCTTCAGTCAGTGCAATTATGTTCGCTGCTACTGCTGCAAGATTCCCACAGGACACTGCCTCTGTATTGCGGGATTGCTGCAGTAGCCTGGCTGCAACCGGCAGCTGTGAATAAGCAGCCCATGGTGCAGAGATGGCCCAACAGGTAAAACACTCCTGTTGTATAGGTTAGAGCACACTGACCAGCTGAGGGGGCCAAGAAGCTGTCAATGTTATCAGCAGGTGTACCGCACACAACAGGTAGGGATCTGAAACCACGGACAGCTAACTTTGCTTCCTGCCAGACGTTTGTTTTGCAATACAACAAATGAAAACAGGCCTTTGCATTGCAAAGAAAATGAAAAGCATGATGGTCAAATCACTTAACCTTAGAGCTGCTGTAGGAGAGCAGAGGTCAGAGCAGTGAGGCTACTGCAAAGGGGGTTTTCAGCTGTCTCGAGGTGATCCATGCCAAGATGCAGAAGGGGGAACAGGTATGCATGATGGACACTTCAGGAGGTTTCATGTTAATCTGCAGGAAAATAAAGCAGGCTGATGAGTGGAAAGCTTCTCATGGTATCCCTATACCTGGATAAGTATTCCTTAGAAAATGCAAAATGGGAAATGGAATGGCCTGTAGTTAACACAGCCTCAGTACTCCCGTACACACTAGGGTTTTGATGTGGTACTGACTTAGAGGAAACCATTGCCATAAACTCATTTCACTGATGACTAAACAAAGGGGAGATTATCATGATTTCATTTGATGTTGGTAATTAAAGGTTTTGAAAAATAAAATGAAAGACAACCCTCCCTTGCAGTCTGGAGACAAAGTAAAGGCACATATAGTTTTACAACATATATACTTAAGCTGGCAAGACTTCATCTCCTAAGCCTTTATTTTGTATATAATTTATGTAGATGTAGTGTACTGTGGGTTTTTTGGTATAGCTAATGGTTGGGCAGAGAGGTCTTCAAATCTAGTAAAACAAAAGGAAACAAAAGGGACACCACGTGCAAAATCCACAGTCCACACTTAACCCTTTGGTCCCGTACCCTCCCCCCTGCAATTTAATCTGTAGCTGTTAATTATTATCTGAAAGAGCCAGCAAACAGTTAATTTTTTAATGGCAGTTGACAGAAGCACATCCAATACAGTACACCTATGGAGACATATAAAAAAGATTGCACACGCTTAGGGGCAGGGGCGGCATGTGAAATGAAAAAGCAATATTGTCTACTTTTCCATAGCTTGTAAAATAGCCTAAGTAATTATGATATGTATTTATTTTATTTAAAAGGAGAGCCATTTTTGTTTTGATTTCTGTGCTCCCCCCTTATTACTGCTGTCTCTGAAACTCCACAGACACTGCATTTCTTTTCCTGACTGGACATTTCTGAAATAGTACCACTATCAGGTAGATCAGATTGTTGGCAAAAGCTTTGGCACCAAAGAGACTCAACAAATAAATTTCATCACGCTGACCCTGTACTAAACAGCAACTTTATGTGGATAACCTCATGGGAATGGAAGTTGAGAAAGAGCTATTTCAAGGCCGCCAATAACTTAATCTTTGTTCAGTTCATAATGCAAAGCCATTTCTGTTTCCTTTGCTCACAGTACTAAAGAGTTTTTGGGATACTGTAATCCTCATAAGGTGGGGAGGGCAATGTGGGGGGTAGGGGCTTGCGGGAGGGAGAGGAGATCCCACTCAAATTATGCCCCATTTAAAAGAAAACCCCAACAACCTAAAAATAAATAAAAAGCCAAGTTTTTCATCTTGGAAATTCTCACCCTCAGTTACGTGAGTGCAAAAAGTAACTTTTATTTGAAGAACTAACACTCACTTCTTTGTTAAGAAAACTTAGGGCACCACCCAGCAGACATGAAGGCTCCTATGTTATCAGCAAACTATTTCCTGGGTATATGTTCACCCTTTCCATGCAGCTTGCTTATTTTTTCAACAGAAAGGAAAAAAAAAAAAAGGAAAGAAAGAAAGAAAGAAAAGGCAGCGCAAACACAAGTTCTGTAACACTGCTGAATAATCCGTGTTCTGCTGCAACAACTGCTATATTGATGTAATGGAAATTTCAGAGGTGCCCAGCTTTGCAGAAACAAAACTGGAAAAGTGCCAAGGGGAACCCTAAGTGCAGCCCCACGTGCTCTTTCCAAGGGCAAAGGGCTCTGCACAGTGCTGCTGCCTGCCATCACCTGAGAAGAGGCCATAAGAGGCAGAAATAACATGTGCAGCTGAGCAAAATAACTGGTGGAAGAATATGAGCCCCTTTTCCCTGTTAATGGTTAACATAACTCCTTACCCACAAACATTAACACCAGCTACTCTGCTAATTTAGCATTGCAAGCTTAAGTTCTGTGGAGGAATAAGCTTGAATGATTATGCTCTCTGTCCATCTGCCTTTCCTCCCAGTGTTGAACCTTTAGTCTGAAGTGTATTTGACAGGGGTGGAAGAAGGTAGAACTCACAAAAATCACAGAATCGAACAATCACACAATGATTTGGGTTGGAAGGGACCTTAAACCTCATCCAGTTCCAACCCCCTGCCACAGGCAGGGACACCTTCCACCAGAGCAGGTTGCTCCAAGCCCCTGTGTCCAACCTGGCCTTGAACACTGCCAGGGATGGGGCAGCCACAGCTTCTCTGGGCACCCTGTGCCAGCGCCTCAGCACCCTCACAGGGAAGAATTTCTTCCCAATGTCTGTTCTCAACCTCCCCTCTGTCAGTTTAAAAGCATTCCCTCGTGTCCTGTCGCTACAGTCTCCTGTAAAAAGCCCCTCTCCAGGTCTCCTGCAGCCCCTTTAGGCACTAGGAGCTGCTCTAAGGTCTCCCCTTAAGGAGCCTTCTCTTATTCAGGCTGAACCAGCCCAGCTCTCTCAGCCTGGCTCAAGAGCACAGGTTCCCATAAATGTCCAGAAAGCTGAGGATGAGAGAAGAGCAGGAAGAGAGTCTGGTCATGCCTCCATAGCAGAGACACCCACAGCAGCTCTTTCTTGCATGCCCTTCTGTGTCCATGAGTCATAAACCAGAGGACCCTGCAGCACAGCACCCGATGCCTCACACCCACCACAAGGATGCTGAAGAGATGGCAGAAGGAAAGGATATATAGAGAGCAGCTCTGGGGTGTGTGCAAAGGAAACAGGATATACTGTGGGAGATCCCATCAGGATCACAGGGGAAGGGAGCCAGGTTATTGTTGTTGGCAGCTAGGGCAACACATAGGTGTCCTTAGTGCCACAGTTTATGGAACAAATTATCCTCTTACCCTGTTCTCCCCCAAGAAACATCTTTGTATGAGCAGGAGGAATGGTGGGAAAGGAAGATTATACAACATCCAAAATCAATAGCAGACATTACGTTCAGGAAAGTATTCTTTCCTGCAATCCTGGGAGTCACCTCAAGTAACACACCAGACAGCGATAAGGCAAAAACTTAAACCCAGAAGAACAGAGATGCTGGGCCCTGTAATAACACCACATGGAGCAGGATGGAGCAGGCTTCACTGCCCAGCGTGGCTGTACAATGCCTGTCTGAAGGCTGCAATGCTCAGGGAACTTATGTCCCCTCAGCCCCAGAATCATGGATCACTGCCTGCACAACGCTGCCTAGCTGCATAACCCAGCAGCTTGCAATAAAGTCCCCCCTCCACGTTCCTGCACGTGAATCTCATTGTTTCCCAGGAAAGTGAAGTGGAAACCTAGTATCTGCTGGGAGCAGGACATTGCCATTGTCTCCACTGACTTGAGATTCAGCTTTGTGGGGTGACAGTAACCCACAGTCTATGGATTTCACAGGTTTAACTAGCAGCGGCCAGGCAAAGCTTTGTTATTGCATCAATCCAGAGCTTTAAGCACACCTCTGCATTTCACCATGCTTTGTCCTCGAGAAAGTCAGGTGTCCATAGCCAGTGCACCCAGACATTTAACCAGACAACAGGTCCAAACGCAACAAAAACAAAGGGCTGTTGTGATGGAATAAATGCTTCCCCCCCGCAGCCAGCATTTGTAGTTCCACTCTGTCTCTCAGTGCATGACCCTGGGGAGGTGTCTAGCCCAAAAACGAAGAGAGCCTGCAAATGCCAAGTTAGTTTTACTTGCACATTTAGCAAAATCGCCCAGGCATCTTGCCATGGTAAAGTAAATTAGCACTACAAAACAAAACCAGAGTTTATCTTCTGGAAGCATTTTGCACCCTCGACAATGCTTTTGTATTTCAGGGCCTTTTAAACCAGCCTTGTCAGGCTAGAAAGACCTCTGCACAGTCAAGAAAACACTGTCTCATAAGACCCTGAGATATGACAAGGCTGCAAATCCCAGGTTTTAAAGAAACAAGCACAGCAAACAGAGCACCAAACAAAACAAGTGAAAGAGCAGCACATCGGGATCAGATGATGAGCTATGAGGTAAGATGGCAATGGTTTACATTTTTTAAGTATCAGGGAAAACAGTCAACTGCAGAAATGATTTTCATGTTTGTTTTTCAGTACCCCCCCCCCCCCCCAAGGGAGTTCATGGTTTTTTTTTCTTTCCACTTTGGCTGCTCTAGGCAAGGATTTTCCCCTCAACTGTTTACTCTTTCAGCCAGTCTTCAGCAAAATGTCAGCAAACAATTGTCATTTGGTATCTGTAAAAGATAATGCAGGTGGAAAGGGGAATACTGAAATCCAATACCTCCCTGTAAAAACCTACTGTACTATCAACACCAGATAAACTTCCTTTTCTCTGCTAGAAACCTGACCTTGTAAATACACTTACCAGGATAATGGTAAGGGAATAACTTACCCAAACAAGCTGGATAGGTATCAGCAGGTCTTCCTCTCAGAAGACAGAGGTTTTCTGGAAAGTAAATACCTGACCCAACTTTGCAACAGCACCTAGGAAAGCTTTCTTCTGGAGCTCAGTATGAAATGGGTGATGTTGAAAGACACATCCACTAAAAAGCAAAATACTACAACGCTGTACGTTTGCAGTGCATGCTTATATTTCAGTTAACTAGTCAACTGAGCTCTTGGTCACCAGACCTGAACCTGCAAATCCCCTGAAAAGAAAGGAGGTGCTTTTGAAGCAAACTGTAGTAATCTAACCCAGCTCATGCGGCCCGTGAGCAACTTTCACAAATACAGTGTCAACAGCACTTCACAAATATCTCATAACTAAAGTGATGGGCTAACATCTACCAGGTTTTTGTTGGTGGTGGTTTGTTTTTTCACAGTACCTCTTGGAAGCTTGCTGAGGAAAGAATTATCTTCAAAAGACAATTTTTTAAATTCACCTCAATCACATGAAGTCACAAGGAATCATCTGCATTAGAGGGAAAAGCAGGATTTGGTCCTGAATGACTCAACTAAAATCCGTTGTGACAACCTACATTCTACGTGCGATTCAAGTTGGGCACTACTGCTGTGTTGTTTCAACAGAGGCTATTCTACATCTTGGAAACGTCTGGACCGCATCAATATCACTAGTAGACAGCTTCTTTTTCGACACAACTAGACAACAACTTTTTACATGCTTC